TATAAAAAAGTATAAATGTGAATAAATGTAAACATAATATTGAGTGAAAAAAGCTAGTGACAGACTTCTGTGTTCAATATAATACCATTTCTATAAAAGTCAAACATAAAAAACAAAACTAAGTTTTGTATATGGTTATAGATATCTATTGCTGTAGCAATATATGAGTGTGTTTTAGAAAACATGCCCAAAGGGTTGGGGATTTAGCTCAGTGGCACTGCACCTACCTCGCAAGTGCAAGGTCCCAAGTTCGATCCCTGGTACCGGGAAAAACACACACACACAAAACATGCCTGAGGAGAACTGAAGCTCAAATACAGGAGAGCGGTCATCTCAACACAGGGCAGGAAGATAGAATGAGCTCTAGGCTAGGAGGGACCCCGAATGATTTATTTCTTTTCTTTTTCTTTTCTTTTTTGATACCAGAGATTGAACTCAGGACCTTGTGCTTGCCGAGGCAGGCAGCAGAACCATCGAATGATTTATTTCTTATGACAAGATCCAAGTAGACCTGGCAAAAGATTACAATTTATCAAAGCTCCATGAAGCATCTGAGTGTTCTTTATACTGTTTTCTGGACTTTATGTATCCCTGAAATATAGGACTTTCTCAAATGGTCTTTGGTTACCTCACTTACAGGAGTACCTGGTGCAGGGAATCCTGTCTGTTGCTCTTCCACATAGCAGAGCTATGGATAACCAGTGAGGTAAGGTCCTGAACTATCCCCAGCTGCCCACAAGGGCACACAACGGTTGCCAAGGTTACATATCGTGCATTTACTGTGCGCTACATGGGGTGCTTCATGGGCACCAATCCCATACTTCTTGCAACTATTCCAGAGAGAAAGTACTGTTACAACCGCATCTTAGAAATGGGGTGGGCCGGGGATGTAGCTCAGCGGCACCGCCCCTGCCTCCCAAGCACAAGGTCCTGAGTTCAGTCCCCAGTACCAAAAAAAGAAAGAAAGAAATGGGGAGACCAAGCTGTTGAGGGCAATCTTGGCAATGGAGAAACCAAGAGTCAAACCAGCCTCTCCCTCCCACCTCCTCGCCATCCATGCCCACCGCCTTCACTAAGGGTTGTTTTCCGGAATCTTCAGGTCCAGCAGCCCATGGAAGTTTCTGTTCTGAGCCCGTGGGAATCACTGGGCAGCACCTGTCACACCTGCCTGTCCACTGCCCCGGTGAACCTGAAGCTGCCCTGTAGTTGAGACCTTGGTGGGGAGCCAGGCTGGGCCTCAGAGACATTCACCCACTGCTTAGCTCTCTTCAACAGCCGGCCTGAAACAGAGACGTCGCAAATCCCATCAATATCTCCATTGTGTGACGCACTTGTTAGAGCAGAGCAAGGGATTCAGCACTGTTGGACCGAAGCACATCGGTCTACATTAAGATCCCACTTTAGGGCTGGGGATTTAGCTCAGTGGTTTCATCACCTGCTGCACAAGCGCAAGGACCCAAGTTCGATCTCCGGTACAAAAAAAAAAAAAAAAAAAGATCCCACTTTAGATTCAAATCCTCATTAAACCCCATGCTCGGGCTCGTGGTTAACAATATTCTTCCATCTGTCTGTAGAGCTGACAGCAGCTCTCGGGCGAGCCCAGAGGCCTCTGCGCCACTGCTTTCCAAGGCAGGCTCCGAAGATGACACAGAAATCACACCACCCCGCGTGTCCTGATTAGCCCAGGAAGAGTTGAATGGCACACGTGTTTCCAATCTGCCTGGCCCACACAGAGAAATAGGGCAATCTGGCCTGGAAGGGGATTTAGACTTTTGTTGTGTGTGAGGGAGGGGGTGGAGAAGAAAGCTGATTTAAAGCCATCCATAAAGCCTTCCCACTTGGTGATCTCCTAGATAAGGAGTACCCCGGGTGTAGTTCAGACCCCTGCCACGCTCGCCTCTCTGCTAGGTAATCCTGGCCCTCTTGGGCAAGGCAGGTATCACCAAGAGCCCTGCAACGGGTCCTGTCCGAGCTCGCCCCATTTCTGCTGGAATCTTACAGGGTGTTTGTCGATTTCTAAAACTGGCCTGCAGCCAAAGTCTCAGAGGACTTTGGAGACTAAAACAAGCTCGGTCACAGGCTACAGATGATCTGGTTAGCAATTCTGATGCTTCTGCCAACCACTCTGCCAAACGCTAGTTTCAAAGCAGCATCAGATACTACATAACCTGATCACTGGGCTCATGGGGCAAATACTAAGTTAAATATGTGATTTATTTACTGACGACGCTGCATTAAAAAGAATATTTTCATTTCTCTCTTCCCAAGAGAGAAAGAGCCCCACAGATATTGAAATTACACACAGTTGATACAGAGTTTCCATTAACTATGTAAATCAATAAATCCTAATTGTATGTTCAGGTGGGCAGGGCTTTGACGCTAATCTTTTTTTTTTTTTTAATCTGCAAAGGACAGATGGAAACACTGTACTCCGATAACATTTACTCCGGCTTTAAACAATTCATCATTTTCTTTTTGCAAAGCATACTCCTGGGCACCGCTAAATTGTGCCGATGGGCTGGAAGGCGAGAGTGGAGCCCTCGGGAGCCCTCTCCTGCGTGCGCTTAGACGACAGCCTGCCTCGTCCGCGGGCCGCCTGGGTCCAGGCCTGCTTGCTCTGTAGGCAGCGGTTCAATGCTTCTCCAAACACAATTATTAAGACCGTCTTTGGTGACCTCTTATTGCCGCTGTATCTGAGAAACAGCATTCAGATGCAGATTGGCCTAAATCCTATCAACCCATTCAACCATGCACGTGAGTGTGCGCATGTGTGTGCACACACTCCCGTGCCTGAGCACACATCGTATTTGCACTTATCTACGTTCTCCCCAGAGCATTTGAAACCCCACCTGAAACGTCCAAAGGAGGAGAAATGCTTATTTTCCCAGGCAACTTTGCCAAATGCTCTGGTGCTTTTATAAATATTTCATAGCAAAATATTTAATGTGATTCCCCAATTGGATCAGCTTTGAAATGCTCCTCAAAATGAATTCTCCCCTAACAATAGTGGGATGCCAAAGCTCTTTTTCTTCTTCTTTTTCTCTTAAGCACCGGGTCTGCTGCCATAGCAGCGAATAGTTTTATATAAAGGCAAAGAAAAGATACTTTGCCTCGATTCAGTAGGCAAGAAGGTGGGGGCGGGGAAGGGCTGCGCATGCGCACCTTGGGCTTTCCGTAAGGCCGCCCACCTCCACTTCCTCCCCACTATCACCACACGCCGGCCTGCATTAGGATGATAATGGGAGGTGACAAGTCTATGTAAATGATCTACAGACGGATTTTGCTCTTGTAAAACAGAGCAGTTATTTTGGGCTTTCTAATTATTTCATGCCTTGTGGTTCTCTGATGGGCCAGAGATGACTCTACTTGAAAAGTGCCCCGTGATTGACAGACTTCTGTCCCCCTGGAGCTCATTAGGACTCAGGCTTTGGAAGATGGGAAATATCCCTAGCAGGCACCAAGAAAGAAAGAAAGATCTCACGACAGTACCCGTGATTTTGTAGATTCATTTGTTCAGTGTGTGTTTTGTTGAGGGAACAGTTATTATCAGGAAAATGCACTCTTGCCTTCCTAATCCAACCAGGCTTACTGCTTTGGTGCTTTTGATTTTTAAATCTTCGTTTAGAGCCACACAGGTGTAGAACTGGGAGGGTATAAAACACCAGTAGCCTTTCCCATAGTAACCAGCCTCTCCAGGAAGAAGTGGGGAAGACGGGCGAGAACAGCCATGTGCCACACGGGACAGCTATGCAATTGAACTGGATGTCATCACATCTTGTTTTGCAGCGATAGCATGACTGCCCCTGAGTCTGATGTGCAGAGCAATCAGTGAAGATAGAGAACAGAATGGAATCACTGATTAGGAGACTCTGACCATCCGGGCAGTTACAACACACTCTGTAGTGAAGGAGCAGTCAGTTCCAGGATGGGACAGGACTGTGAGAAACATCCATGAAGCTGGAAGACTTTCAGTTTCATTTATTATAGACTTCCCATTTTATGGAATGGAAAATTAAGTGATAGTAGTCACACAGCTGGTTAGCAGGATTGTATCAGTCTCCTTTCCCATTGCTGTGACAAATTATCCACACCCACAACTTAAAGGAGAGGTTTAATTTGGCTCACAGTTTCAGGGGATTCATTCTATGGTCAGCTGGCTCCAAGGCAGGAACTTTGTGGTAGAAGGCAGGAACATGGAGGGCAAAGCTGCTTAGTTCATGGGGGCCAGGAAGCAGAGCAGGGGAATGGTACCAGAGAGGAGGGGCAGGGACCAGATACAGACTCTAAGGTCACACCTCCATAGCCCACTCAACACACCCAGAAGTGTGATTTATGAATCCCCTGGGCAGCTCCTAAGCTAATCACATTGCCAGTCCACCTTGCCAATCAAAGTATAGGTAGAACTAGATGGCAGCTACCTATCTAGTACACATTTCTCTGGGGCAGAAGCGGGGGGGGGGGGGCAACACGGAGAGACCAGGTGTTAAGAGTTTGGATGCTGATTGTCCCTCCCCAAAGGTCCATGTGTTAAAGGTTTGGTCTCCCATTACTGGGAGAAGGAATCTAGTAGGAGCCCCTTCGGACACTGAGGTGTGGCCCCTAATGAGAATGGTGGGGACCCCTCCCACTTCCTCTTCCTCTTTCTCTTCTGCTCCTGGCCATGGTGTACTGCCTTACCATAATCCAAAGCAATGGGGCCTCCAAAACTGTGAGCCAAAAATAAGCCTTTTCTAAGTGAGTTATGTCAGACATTTCATATAGTGGTGACAAGCTAACACACGAGGTGACAAGGTTCTCTAATGAGTCCGAGTCCGAGGTGAGGAATCCAACTTCTGTTAATCTAAAGGTAGTGAGGTTAGATTTTCATCCACCATGCTTAGGTATATAAAAATTAGAACATTCTTTATGTTTCTGTAACTGACCTTGCTCTCCTGCCACATATTGCATAGTAAGAACAACAACCTTAAACCTCCTAATTAATATAAGACAGTGTCTCAATGTTAAAAAAAAGTTTCACTTGTGTTGGTTTATTTTTCTTTTGAATAAATATTCAGTCAAGTTCAGTGGACATTTTTCTCCTCTCAAGGGTCCCCCAATCCCTATATTTCCCTCCCCAGGGAGGCATATGAGTACAGTATGGGTCTTTGTTGTGACTGAGGAACCGACTGGTCCAAGTTCAGGGCTTGGGCACTCTCTGGTTCTCTGATGCCACCACAGATAACCAGCTTCCCCTCTCATCACCATGGGTATCAGCAAATGGCCCTTGAATCTAAGAAGCCATGTTGGAACCTAGGAGGGAAAGTGAAATTGTAATAAACTGGAAGTTGCTACAATACTTCTTTTTGTTGTAAACTTCTTTAAATGTCATAAACTTTGGTGCACACTTGTATTGTCTTTTCTTACCTCTGTCATTGATTTTGAAGGCTCATGAGGAAGTTTGATTCTGCTGTGACTATCGTCACATTCATCACGCATCTAAGCCAAACTGTACACATTTTCATCCCCTGCTGTACATAAGCATAACCAACACAGAGACGAGAGGGACGCAAACCTTGGACTGGAGATGAAGCATAGGTCAAGGGCCAGAGGAGCAAGCCAGGTACAAGTCAATGGAAAGCAAGGCCAGCCTACAACAGAGGCTCACTGCAAAACTTCCAAGCTGAGGAATACAGAAAAGCAGGAGACCTGCACACCTCCTATTTTAATTTGTGATGAACATGTATTAATAACTGTGCATATAAATGGGATTCAGCATGATGTTGCCATACATGCATACAGTGAGCATTGGTGAAATCCAACTCACTTTAGGAGGCTAATAAAATCTTGGCTCTAAAACAAGTATGGACAGCATGAGAAAAGTTATAGGCTTCTTTAATTTATAAATATGGAAAATCCATATAACATATGATCTAAGCAAATCTAACAATAGATTGAAAGACAAACTCAAATGCAGTTTGTCCCAGCAATATAACAATGGTTTAATATCATCAAGACCACCTTAAAAGAGAAAAAAATAAATAAAAGAAAATCTATCAGTATAAAAGTACAAGGAATGATAAAAATATCATTAAAAATTTATTACTGGAAAGACACTATTAACCCCCTCAAAATAATCCCCTCTACTTTGAGCACACTTTTCTGATTGTTCTTGCCACTTTCTGAAGCAGTTCATGCGTATCTTAAATTGCACTGTCATGATGGCCTCAGTGTCCTGAATAATTCAAAAGGTTGACCTTCCATGATCATTTTGTCTTTGAGGAAGAGCCAGAAGTCACACAGTGCCAGGTCTTGTTAATAAGGTGGATGAAGACACAGTGATGACACTTGGCAGACGCATTCACTGTATTTTTGATCACATCTCATAAAGACACTCATGAAAAAGGACTTCCGGAAATGCTTCAGGAAGTGGCAAGAACCATAATAAAATTGTGCTGAAAGCAAGAGGGAGCATTCTGAAGCAGATTAGTGGCAATGTGTCTTTACTGTAATAAATTTTTAAAATTTAAACATTCACAGTATTTTCTATCACACTGTGTATCTTATGAAATTTATACTTACTTATGATGAGACAATAATCATCTCAGTACCCAGGAATAGAAGAGCATTCCTTTGATCTGACACAGACTTTACACCAACATGTTAAGGTTAACACTATACCTGGTACAGAAGCTTTAGCCCTTTAAGGGCTGAAACAGAAACAAAGCTCCCTTTATTCCTGCTATGATTAACCTGTATTTGGGTGTTCTGATGGTTTACATCTAAAATGTCCCCCAAAATCTCATCTGTGGCAGGCTTGGTCCCCAACACACAGTGTGCAGAGGTGACTGGGTCACAGGGTTCTGACTTCACTGAGTGGATAAACTGATGAGATCTAATTTAATGGCATTACTGAGTGGTGTTGGCAGCAGGAGGGGGTGTAGTTGAAGGGAGAGGGTCATAAGTGTGTGAACTTGACAGGTATCCCTGGTCCTTGCCTCTTCTCTCTGCTCTTTCCCTTCCTGGCTGCCATGAGGTGAGTGGCTTTCCTCTGTTGTGCCCTCCCTCCCTCCCATGATGCTCTGCTTCCCCACAGTCTGGATACAATGAAGCCAAGTGACCACGGACCAAAACCTCTGAAACCATGAGCCAAAATAAACCTTTCCTCTTTCAAGTTGATTTATGTCAAGTGTTTTCTTATAGCCACAGAAAGCTGACTAAGACAGATATCCTTGCCAACAAGGATTTAAAAATACAAGGCAAGAAGAAAAAAAAATGATTGCAAGATGTGGTCATTTAAAATATGTCCTTTTCAAAAAGTGGAGACTGGTTTCTCTCCCCAGAGTTTGGACTGCAGTTAGTGACTTGCTTCCAACAAATAGAATAAAGTAAAATAATGCTGTGTGATTTCTGACACTAGGTCAGATTCTGAGCTTCCTGACTTTATGAAAATAAATGCTGTTTTAAGCTGCTGTGTTTGGGGATAATTGGGCAGCAGTAGTTGATAACACAAGCACTGGGACAAAAGATATTAAATCATTCACTGCTGATCATCTACATACAAAACCCAACAGAACCAATAAATTATTAGAACTGGTGAGACTTTGCTAAGTTTTTCCTAACACATGATCAACTTACAAAAACCAATAGTGTTCTTCTATCCCATTAATAACCAACTAGAAAAGAAAGAACTAGAAAAGAAAGTCCCTTTCACAACAGTAAGAAAATACAATGCACTTGGGAGTCAAACTGACGATGTATATGCAAGACATTCATGGAAAAATATTAAAATGTTATTAAGGGACATAAAAAAGACTTAATAGAAATATATACCACAGTCATGGTTGCATACTTGATATTAAAAATATTTCCTCAATGTATAATTTCAACTCAAAGACTAAAATTTCCAGCCAGATTTCTCACCTGCCTGGATGGCTGGCCGTCGCCAGTGACTGTCCTGCAAGCACTGAATATCTTCAATACTCTGATCTGCCTTTACCTCTGGAGTCTCTCTGGTTCCCTAACCCTCAGGTCCCTCTCATCCCCCGGTCCTCAACTCTTCCCCCAGTGCCAGCCCCATGGGCCTACCTCACCTTGGTATTTTCTGGGCTCCAAGCTCCTGCTATGAATTGGCCAATGGGAAGAGAGGGCAAAGAAGGGTGACATTAAGAGCAGGAAGCAGGAGGGGGGCACAAAAACAGCAAGAACAGAGTTGGTTCCTGTAAAGACAGTACCTATTGAATGAATAAGACCTACTTCATTAAGAAGCCAAGAGACTAGAAGATGAGTCCCTGGTTACCAATTTATTTAAATACACCCAGAGAGCATAATGCATATTTATTTACATTAACTTCAACTATTAGAAGTGATGGGCTGGGGATGTAGCTCAGTAGCATCACACCTGCCTGGCAAGTGCAAGGTCCTGAGTTCGATCTCAGGTACAAAAAAAGAAAAAAGGAAGTGAGGACGTTTATGCAAATAAAAAATTAGAAAATATATCAGAAAAAAAAATTCCAGAACTGTGTGATCATTTTACTCAATGGGTCCATACAAACAATATTTTTTGGTTTCATGAATGAAATGGTTAAGTCAAAAAATTACGAACTAGTTTAGATGTGGTGGTGGAAATAAAGATAAAATAGAGCCACATCAGAAAGAACAAAGGATCACCTGAGCAGCATGTCTTTTCGTTTATTAGCAAGAATATGCAGCCCAAAAATGACATCTTACGCTAGGTTTTAAGGAATCATCTCAGGGTAGAGATTTAGCTGTGGAAGACTTGACTCCATGCAGGGCAAAGGTTCGGGGAGGTGAAAATGGGAGGAGAGGTGAGCAGGTGAAGCGGTGGCTCCATGGAGAGAGGGCTGGAGGAAGAAGCCCCCCGGGCAAGACGGCCACTTAGAAGGGCCACAGGGAGGACTGAGGTGGCCTCACAGAACTCACGCAGTGTGGCTGTGGGGCTGGTCGGCATTTAAAGTTTGAGACTCTTGCATAGTCCCTAGCAGAAGTAATGAATGGTAAATGCTAACATTCTAAATCCAGTTGGGTTTATTGTAGCAAATGTTGCAGGGTGTCAGTCATAAAACTGGTTTTAGATGGGGTTGTGACAGCCTGTTTGACAAGAGGACACTACATCTGAATGGGACCTATAATATAAACACTTTCAAAACGCCACACATCAAAAACCATCACATAGCAAAGGCCTCACAGAGAAAATGCCTGGAAAACTGAAAGTCCTAGGTTTCGTGTGAAAAGTTGCACTGCTTGGAATTCCTCTTAAGGAAATAAGAGATGGGGTATATCTTCACGCCACTGTCTGCATGGAGGAGGACAGTGAGGAGGATGCACTCCCAGAGTGACTGGCTACGTAAACAAGGACAAACCCTTACAACTACAACTGAAGACTAGCCACCCAGACATCACACTGTAGAATGATTCATTTGTTTGGAAATATTTATAGTCTTTTATGCTGCCAGTGCTGTTCTAGGCACAACTGACACATTTGGGACCAAATAAATATCCTTTCAGTATACACAGACTCATGGGGAACAGCAACAGCTCAACCATCTGGCCAAGATCCTAGAAGGAAAGAGAGAAGACAGGAGACATTCAAGGGGAGAACAGAGAAAGATAGTTTGCATCCCAGGGGAGGACAGAAAAAGATAGTATGCAAGGAAACAAATAAATAAGCAACATATTTCCAATAATGGTAAATACCAGGGAGGAGAGGAAAGGAGGATAAGATTAATCCAAGTGTAAAAGTGTAAGAGCACTTGAGGGAGGTCTCGTTGAGCCAGCCGTAGTTACACAGCAAGCAAATGTGTCCTTGGCCAGAACAGTTCCCCTTTGGGAACCAGGATGCCTATTATTGAATAGCTCAGAGTTAAGAAGATGGGGGTGCAAGGTCCCCAGGGGTGACTGGGAGAGATGGCAAGCAGGCCTCTCCCATTTCCACCGCTGCTTCATAGATCCCACGTCTCCACTTAAGCTTGGTGATGGAAGGGACTATTGCGATCTCAAGGGCAGTCCCTTTTCCCTGCAAGCACCTCCAGCCTGTGCCTCAACTTGCTGCTCCCTCCACAATCCATTTTGTTCCACAAGGCTGGCCACTTCCGGGTGGCACACTATGTGGGACAGCAGTAATCCCATTGGCCTGTAAAGAAGAGTCTTGTTCTGCTTGATGTTTTGGGGATCTTGTACTGGTGGGTCAGCTCTGGAAGCTTGTGGAACAGGGCACTGGATGAAGTCCTGAAGTCCACAAGGCAAATGTGTTCACAACATCTATCCACGCCACTCAAGGTGAACGCTGCCCT